ACCAATCACCCTCTCCCCAAAAACATAAAATTATAAGAACATAACTGTTTTGCAAATTATTGCAATCCATTGTTTGTATTGAAATATTTAGCGTAGTTAATAAATAGAGAGTGTTGAACATGATATCTCACGAGTGAGATATCATGTTGAACACAAGAAATAAATCTGGTAATTCCAAGCACCCATGTATTTTTCTGCTTATTATATAAAGGACAGTCTTTGAAAAGCGATAATTTCATAAGAGAACGGGACTGATGTTTTCCGGGGGGGAGTTAAGTTTGCCCAAATTTTTATGCAGAATTGTGGTGAAATAACCTGATTTAAACATATTTTCTGATAAATGCGCCCGAATTTTCGTGATTTTTCCTAACAATTGGCCGAATTTCCATGGTTTTTCATGGATTTTCATGGTTTTTCCCCTGCCTCCTGTCTCATATGCCAATGATAATCTTTACAGAAAAGCGATAATTGAAAAGCGATAATTTTCACATGATTGTGTCATAAATATAATCTCTCATGTGAGATTATCACTTTTATCAGTGCTCGCCATCTCTATCAAGCACAATACAGTTTATATTAACAATACTATTTATATGCCCTTGGTGAAAATCTGAGTCAGATCTAGAAAAAAGGAAAAACATTACCCAAAATCTTAATACCAATTTTTATACAAAAACGCTCAAAACACGGTATACCAATTCATTAATTAATTAAAAAATTGTGAAACAAACACGAAATTATTCACGAAAATTACTTATTAATTAATTATTTACTCTACAGTTAGGGGCGGACCATTAGAAATCCCGGGAGGGGAGTATAAAATTTTTGCGGCACGATTTTTTTTTCATTCTCATGTCTCTGAAGGATTTTTTTATGCATTTAACCTTTGCAAGAATATTTTTTCAAGACTCTTTTCACTTTGCTGTTTGCTTGCACGATTTTTTTTCTCCGACGTAATGGCTGCACGAATTTTTTTCCAGGGATTTTTCTTTTGCACGAATTTTTTTTGGGAATTTTCACCCCCTTCCTGGGATTTCTAATGGTCTGCCCCTTAGTTGTAAATTTCTCCTGCGTCATTTTGATTGCATGGATACTAAATATAAACTTTGCTGTGGGTGGAAAGCGATCGGATTAATGTTTGTGTCAGGCAATATTTCTAAAATAGAGCCTCATGATCTCACATATTTGTAGACTTTGGTTACATCAACAGAACGTCGTGACATATTTCATATCTTTCCCAATATTTAAATCATTCTAAAAGTAAATGAGAAGAGGAGCCACCCGACGGTAAAATAACGTAATCAAAGACTGTTCAGGTTGCAGACATGTCAATAGGTTCCGATCGAGACATTTTCATAAATACTACAGTGCTACATTGCAATTTACAGTTAGGAACATTTAGGAACATACACTCGATTTTTTATAGTATATATTATATTATAAACGTCTGTAGTTTTATTAATCATAGACATAGTATTCCACTCATTTTTTTGTTTCGTACCCCTCCTCCCCCGCAAATGTCGCACTTTGTCTCATACCCCCCCCCCCCCCCCCCCCCCCC